ATGACGGTGGGACAGACTAGTTAGGAGCAGGTGAGGCACTAAATTTAGCCTGTCGTGATTTGTATCAGGGAAATTATGAACTTGTATTTTTACACACCTTGGGCACCAACACAAGATACGGTTTCGTAAGCAGCTTTGGCAAAAATCAAAGGAACGGAACCTCTGCTTCCAAGTGTACGGTCAGGAGCAGCGTGTTAATTAAGTGAGTCATCTCCCGTGGCAAAATCCCAGGAGACATGGGACCAGACTTTGTGAGGCTGGCATTGGGAAAAGGAAGGTGAGGGGTCCCCCTCCCCAAACTATATTCTCATTTTCTTGTCAGAGCTGTATGTGTTCATGAGGAAGATATTGCATTCAAAGAACGAAATCACCTCCAGCTTTGGCAAGAATTCAGGTTTGGGCTGATGCCTTTGACCAGATAAAATTTTCAGAAGCAGTGATAGTGATGTGTCAACCTTTCTAAATAGGGGTGTTAGTGTGGGTGAGGCAGAGACAGCAGGCTCCCTCTGCTTTTTTTTTTTTTTTGAGACGGAGTCTCGCTCTGCCGCCCAGGCTGGAGTGCAGTGGCCGGATCTCAGCTCACTGCAAGCTCCGCCTCCCGGGTTCACGCCATTCTCCTGCCTCAGCCTCCCGAGTAGCTGGGACTACAGGCGCCCGCCACCTCGCCCAGCTAGTTTTTTGTATTTTTTTAGTAGAGACGGAGTTTCACCGGGTTAGCCAGGATGGTCTCGATCTCCTGACCTCATGATCCGCCCGTCTCGGCCTGCCAAAGTGCTGGGATTACAGACTTGAGCCACCGCGCCCGGCCTCCCTCTGCTTTTATGTGCGGGCGCTGCCAGAGGCAGAAGGCTGGCTTTCTGAGAGCAGGGGCGCGCACGCTCTGTCTGTGCCAGGGCTGGAAAACGTCCATTGCGTGCCCGGCTGGTGTCTTCCGTGGAACCACAGCCTGGAAGCCTGCACCTCCCTGCCTGGACCAGTTAGAAGCTGTTCATGAGGCCGGGCGCGGTGGCTCATGCCTGTAATCCCAGCACTTTGGGAGGCCGAGGCGGGCGGATCACAAGGTCAGGAGATCGAGACCACGGTGAAACCCCGTCTCTACTAAAAATACAAAAAATTAGCCGGGCGCGGTTGTGGGCTCCTGTAGTCCCAGCTACTCTGGAGGCTGAGCCAGGAGAATGGCGGGAACCCGGGAGGCGGAGCTTGCAGTGAGCCGAGATCGCGCCACTGCACTCCAGCCTGGGCAACAGAGCGAGACTCCGTCTCAAAAAAAAAAAAAAAAAGAAGCTGTTCATGAAAAACTAAAGAGACAAGTTCCCATCTATCCGTGTGCTGTTCAGACCTACCTACTATCTGTGTCCCCTTGGTAGGCTGTGAGCTGTGGCAGTTCCCTTTTTATTTTTTGAGACAGGGTTTTGCCCTGTTGCCCAGGCTGCAGTGCAGTGGTGCGACCATAACTCACGGCAGCCTCAACCTCCTAGGCTCAAGAGATCCTCCCACCTTAGGCCAGGTGCAGTGGCTCACGCCTGTAATCCCAGCACTCTGGGAGACTGAGGCAGGCAGATCACGAGATCAGAAGACAGAAATGGTGAAACCCCATCGCTACTAAAAATACCAAAAAAAATTAGAAATTAGCCACCACCTGCCACCACCCCCGGCTAATTTTTTTTTTTTTTTTTTTTTTTTTTGAGATGGAGTCTCACTCTGTCACCCAGGCGGGAGTGCAGTGGCGCGATCTCGACTCACTGCAACCTCCGTCTCCCGGGTTCAAGTGATTCTCCTGCCTCAGCCTCCTGAGTAGCTGGGATTACAGGCATGTGCCACCAAGGCCGACTAATTTTTTGTATTTTTCATAGAGACAGGGTTTCACCGTGTTTGTCAACCTGGTCTTAAACTCCTGACCTCAAGTGATCTGCCGTGGCCTCAACATGCATTTTGGAGGGTATAAATATTCAAACCATAGCCACCGTCTTCTCTGTTGTCACGTATTAGAGAAAGATTGTCTCTTCTGGGCCGGGCGTGGTGGCTCATGCCTGTAATTCCAGCACTTTGGGAGGCTGAGGCGGGTGGATCATGAGGTCAGGAGTTCAAGACCAGCCTGGCCAAGATGCTGAAACCCTGTCTCTACTAAAAATACAAAATTTAGGCTGGTCGCAGTTGCTCATGTCTATAATCCCAGCACTTTGGGAGGCCAAGGCGGGCGGATCACGAAGTCGAGATCGAGAACATCCTGGCAAACATGGTGAAATTCCGTCTCTACTAAAAATACAAAAATTAGCTGGGTGTGGTGGCACATGCCTGTAGTTCCAGCTACTCAGGAGCCTGAGGGAGGAGAATCACTTGAACCTGGGAGACAGACGTTGCAGTGAGACAAGATTGCACCACTGCACTCCAGCCTGGCGACAGAGCGAGACTCCATCTAAAAAATTTATGTATATATTAGCCGGGCATGGTGGCCGGCGCCTGTACTTCCAGCTACTTGGGAGGCTGAGGCAGATAATTGCTTGAACACGGGAGGTGAAGGTTGCAGTGAGTCGAGATCACAGCACTGCACTCCAGCCTGGGCAGCAAGAGTGAAACTCCATCTCAAAAAAAAAAAAAAAAAAAGAAGACTGTCTCTTCTCATAAGAGCACTGTTCCCATATCATGAGGGCCCCACCTTGCTGACCGCATCTAACCCTAATTATTATTAATATTATTATTTTTTTGAGACGGAGTCTCGCTCTGTCACCCAGGCTGGAGTGCAGTGGCATGATCTCGGCTCACTGCAAGCTCCACCTCCCGGGTTCAAGCCATTCTCCTGCCTCAGCCTCCTGAGTAGCTGGGACTACAGGCGCCCGCCACCATGCCCAGTTGATTTTTTGTATTTTTAGTAGAGATGGGGTTTCACCATGTTGGCCAGAATGGTCTTGATCTCCTGACCTTGTGATCCGCCTGCCTTGGCCTCCCAAAGTGCTGGGATTACAGGCGTGAGCCACCACGCCCGGCCCTAACCCTAAATTATTATGCCTTCCAAAGACCTCATCTCCAAATACCACCCATTGGCATTAGGACTCCAATATATAAATGTTGGGGTAGCAACTAGGAAAAGAGATAGTTAGAAAGGATTTAACAGGCCGGACGCGGTGGCTCAAGCCTGTAATCCAAACAGGCTTGAGAACCGAACGGCTTCAGTGGAGCCTGTTGTCTGTTGTGAAGTGTAGCAGTTTAAGTGAGTGCACCACATCTGCACAATTGACACGGCAGACTTCTAGACAAGCTGGGTGAAAAAGCAACTTACAGAATAATACATGCTATATCATACATTTTTTATTTTTATTTTTTAGACAGAGTTTTGTTCTTGTTGCCCAGGCTGGAGTGCAATGGCACGGTCTCAGCTCATGGCAACCTCTATATCCTGGTTCAAGCGATTCTCCTGCCTCAGCCTCCCAAGTAGCTGGCATTACAGGTGCCCGCCACCGCACCTGGCTAATTTTTGTATTTTTAGTAGAGACGGGGTTGCACCATCTTGGCCAGGCTGATCTGGAACTCCTGACCTCAGGTGATCCTCCCACCTCAGCCTCCCAAAGTGCTGGGATCACAGGCATGAGCCAACATGCCCAGCCAATTTTTGTTAAGTTTTTTTTTTTTTTTTTTTTTTTTGAGACGGAGTCTGGCTCTGTCGCCCAGGCTGGAGTGCAGTGGCCGGATCTCAGCTCACTGCAAGCTCTGCCTCCCGGGTTTACGCCATTCTCCTGCCTCAGCCTCCCGAGTAGCTAGGACTACAGGCGCCGCCACCACGCCCGGCTAGTTTTTTGTATTTTTTAGTAGAGACGGGGTTTCACCGTGTTAGCCAGGATGGTCTCGATCTCCTGACCTCGTGATCCGCCCGTCTCGGCCTCCCAAAGTGCTGGGATTACAGGCTTGAGCCACCGCGCCCGGCAATTTTTGTTAAGTTTAAAAACACATAATCAATGACTTATCTTGTTTTCAAATGCTTTCATTTGTAGTAAAAATACCAAAACATACTTGAGAGTTATATTGAGGCCAGTGCGGTGGCTCACGCCTGTAATTCCAGCACTTTGGGAGGCCCAGTGGGGTGGATCACTTGAGGTCAGGAGTTCAAGACCAGCCTGGCCAGCATGGTGAAACCTATCTCTACAAAAATACAAAAAATTAGCCAGGCATGGTGGCAGATGCCTGAAATCCCAGCTACTGGGGAGGCCGAGTCAGGAGAATCGCTAGAACCCCAGAGATGGAGGTTGCGGTGAGCCAAGATCACGCCACTGCACTCTAGCATGGGCAACAGAGCGAGACTCCATCTCAAAAAAAAAAAAAAAAAAAAAAAGGCCGGGCGCACTGGCTCATGCCTATAATCCCAGCACTTTGGGAGGCCAAGGCGGGTGGATCACGAGGTCAGGAGATGGAGACCATCCTGATTAACATGGTGAAACCCCATCTCTACTAAAAATACAAAAAATTAGCCGGGCGTGGTGGCGGGTGCCTGTAGTCCCAGCTACTCGGGAGGCTGAGGAAGGGGAATGGCATGAACCCAGGAGGCAGAGCTTGCAGTGAGCTAAGATCGCGCCACTGCACTCCAGCCTGGGCGACAGAGCGAGACTCCATCTCAAAAATAGTAACAATAAGGCCGGGTGCGGTGGCTCAAGCCTGTAATCCCAGCACTTTGGGAGGCCGAGTGGGTGGATCACGAGGTCAGGAGATTGAGACCATCCTGGCTAACACGGTGAAACCCCGTCTCTACTAAAAATACAAAAAACTAGCCGGGCATGGTGGCGGGCGCCTGTAGTCCCAGCTACTCGGGGGCTGAGGCGGGAGAATGGCGTGAACCCGGGAGGTGGAGCTTGCAGTGAGCCGAGATCGGGCCACTGCACTCTAGCCTGGGCCACACAGCGAGACTCCGTCTAAAAAAAAAAAAAAAAAAGTAACAACAACAATAATAATAATAATAATAATTAAACATCACAGAAAAGACAGGAAGGAAACACAACCCATAAACGACAGGGTTACCAGCAATTCTCTTTAATGCTTTTTTCTTTCTGAAAGCTTTTGCAAAGTCCAGTTTATTTTTACAGTAAACAGATTATCTTTTAAGAAAATGGACTATCTAGCAAGACTGTAGCAAAGTGTGTTTATGCAAACAGGTGGTGCAGAGACAGAGGGGCCGACCTTGTGGGCAGCCTGAGGCCCGTCCCAGCTCATGGGCCACGCACGGATGGGAGCACCTCAGTGCTTTCAGCCAAGAGAACACAAGTCTCAGGATCCATGTGGCTCCCTCAGGCCCTGGACCCAGGCAGGCAGGACAGCCTTGACCACGGGGCAGGAGACATCTCAGTATCCTGTCTGCACCCGCACCACCTGCGTGGCACCTAGCCCTCAGACACCTGCATGGCAGCTCCACGGGCCAGGCCCACTGTCCAGTTGCTCCTGCCCTGGAGTTGGGACCATGGGGAGGGAGAGTGCAGAAATAGCTGAGTGTCCGGAGGAGGGGCTGGGCTGCGGGCATTGCTGGTTGAGACTGGTGCTCTCCACCTGGCTGTGAGGCAGAGGGAAGCAGTGGCCGGAAGAATCCTGCAGAAGTTCCAGAACTTAGGAGCCGGCTGAGGATGGCTTCCCCCTAAAACACCTCGGCTGCCTCGGCCACCCAGCACCTGCCAGAAATGCCCGCAGAGGCCGAGGCCACTACAGAAGAGCAAGTGCCCCAGCACCCACCTCCTGCCCACCCCCACGGGGCAGCACCCACGTGTGGACAGGCTGGCGCAGGGCTGGCAGGATGGGGACCAAGGAGACGCCAGCCCCGTGGGTCCCGCAGAGACCTGCCCATGCAGCAACCAACATCCAAGGACACAGGTGACCCCAAGAAGCAGGAGCGGCACCTCACCTAGAGTTTAGAAGAGAAGGATGCGAAATCCGCCAGCCCTTTGACATCGTTTGGGAACGTCAACCATGCCCCGCCATCGGCCACCAGCACAGCCCCCGTCACATAGGAAGCCAGAGGGCTGGCCAGGAAAAGCACACTGTGGGCAATCTCGGTCTTGTTCCCCAGCCTCTGCAGCGGGCTCACAGTGACCTTGGTGCTCAGGCTGGCCTGGGGGCCACCTGGAGGGCAGCAGAAGGTTTAGGCCCCATGGGCCCCAAGACCCAGCACCCTCCCCTCTCCCCCAGCTCGTTCTCTGAGAGGCATCTGGGAACAGCAAGGGCACAGTCAGTGTCCCCAAGGCCTAGCATGGAGCAGGATCAGGCCAGGCACCGAACATAGTTGCCACCATGGAACCAGCACAGGGCTTTTTCTTTTTTTTTTTTTTGAGATGGAGTCTTGCTCTGTTGCCCAGGCTGGAGCGCAGTGGCACTATCTCCACTCACTGCAAGCTCCGCCTCCCAGGTTCAGCCATTCTCCTGCCTCAGCCTCCTGAGTAGCTGGGACTACAGGCGCCCACCTTTGCCCCAGGCTAATTTTTGTTTTTTTAGTAGAGACGGGGTTTCACCGTGTTAGCCAGGATAGTCTCGATCTCCTGACCTCGTGATCCGCCCTTCTCGGTGCTGGGATTACAGGCGTGAGGGCTTTTCAACATACCCCCTGCCAAGTTTCTGGAAGCTTCCATGGGTACCCTGTGTCCCAGGGAAGGATCTGTGGGAGGCCTGGGCTCCCTGAGAGCCGTACCCAGTCGCCGGAGCCCCTCCGTGCCACTGATGGGGCCAGGGGCGAGGCTGTTGACGCGGATGTTCTGGGGACCCCACTCCACAGCCAAGTGCCGTGTCATCGCGTCTGCACAGGAGAAAGTTGGATATGAAAGGGCCGCTCTGCTCTCTGTGGGGGTCAGGGCCAAGGCCAGGCCTCCGCTGCCTGAAGCTGGGCTCAGCTTCACGTGGAGACTGCTGGCTTCCTGGGATGGAAGCAGAGGGCCCAGTGGGAACCCACGTGGGCAGACCTGGGCAGGGGTGTCATACCCACAGCAGCCTTGGCAGAGCCTGCATGCACCTGGAGCGCCTGCCCCCGGTTCCCCAGGGTGGCAGTGATGTTCACGATCACCCCTCCGTGGTCCTGCAACACACAAGGCCTGAGGCAGTGAGTGGGCGGCCATAGGGGGAGGCCGCGGGGCAGTGGGCGGGCGGCCATAGGGGGAGGCCGCACAGCAGCTTTGGCAGAGAGCCTGCATGCATCTGGAGCGCCTGCCCCGGTTCCCCAGGGTGGCAGTGATGTTCACGATCACCTCCGCGTGGTCCTGCAACACACAAGGCCTGAGGCAGTGAGTGGGCGGCCATAGGGGGAGGCCGCGGGCAGTGGGGGCGGGCGGCCAGGGGAGGCCGTGGGGCAGTGGATGGCGGCGGCGGGGGAGGCCAGGGCGGTGGGCGGGCGTGTAAGGTGCAGGGAGGCCGCAAGGTGGGCGGGCGGCCAGGGGGAGAGGCCGGGGCAGGAGATGGCGGGGGTGGGGAGGCCACAGGGCGGTGGGGTGGCGGCGTGTAAGGAGGCCGCGGTGGGCAGTGGGCGGGCGGCCATAGGGGAGGCCGTGGCGGTGGATGGCAGCAGGAGGCCATTGCGTTGGATGGCGGCGGTAAGGGGGAGGCCACAGGGCGGTGGGCGGGCGGCCGTTAAGGGGGAGGCCGCGGAGCGGTGGATGGCGGTCATAAGGCGGAGGCCCCCGCCGGGAGGACGCCCACCCGGAAGAACTTCTCATAGAGCACGCGAGACACATTGAAGGTGCCGCTGGTGTCGATGTCCATCACGGTCTTGAAGGCGTTGAAGGACAAGGCGCCGGCGGGGCACAGGAAGTTCCCAGCCGCACCTGCAGAGTGGGAGACCGCAGGAGCTGCTGGAGCCTGGGGAGAGGGATACCGGGTGGGCGGTGGGCAGGTGGGCGGTGGGGAGGGTGCAGGATGGAGCCCAGATGCCTGTGGCACAGGAAGGAGACCCATTGCCCTAGGATAAATTCCAAAGTGACCGGAGCAAGATGGGTGTCCTGGCTGCACTACGTCCCCTAGAAGAGACACGCTGAAGCCCTGACCCCGTATCTGCGACTGTGGCCTTGTTTGGAAATGGGGTAGGTTGCAGAGATAATCGAATTACATTGAAGTCACAATGAATTAGGGTGAGCCCTAAATCCAATGACTAGCATCCGTATAACAAGGGAAGAGGACACACACACACACACACACACACACGCCACGTGAAGACAGTGGCAGACAGCGGAGCGACAGTCTTCAAGCCCAGGAGGGCCAAGGACTGTGGCAGTACCAGAAGCCACGCAGAAGGCAGGAACAGGCTCTCCCCTGGGGCCTTCAGAGAGCACAGCTTTGCCAACACCTTCCCCTTGGAGGTTCTGACCTCCAGAACTGGGAGATTAGATTTCGGTTGTTTCAGCCACGCAGGTTGTAGTACTCTGTTAGCCCAGGAAACTAATACACAGGATGTTTTTCAAAAGGAACGTCTGCAGAGTGAACCCAATGTTGGTTCATCAATTGTAACAAATGCAAGATGTTAACAGGGAAAACTGTGGGTGGGAGTATGGAATTCCATGTACTATTAATTATTCTATAAACCTAAAACTGTGATAAAAAAATAAATGCTGGGGGCCAGGTGCGGCGGCTCATGCCTGTAATCCCAGCACTTTTGGAGGCCAAGGTGGGCGGATCACCTGAGGTCAGGAGTTCGAGACCAGCCTAACCAATGTGATGAAACCCCATCTCTACTAAAAATACAAAAATTAGCCAGGTATGGTGGCGGGTGCCTGTAATCCCAGCTACTCAGGAGGCTGAGACGGGAGAATCACTTGAACCGAGGAGGCAGAGGTTGCAGTAAGCTGAGATTGCACCACGGTACTCCAGCCTGGGCAACAAGAGTGAAACTCCATCTCAGAAAAAAAGCTAGGCCGGGCTAGCTTTTATTTTATTGGTGACTCTTGCCTGTAATCTCAGCATTTTGGGAGGTCAAGGAAAGAAGATTGCTTGAGCCCAGGAGTTTGAGACCGGGCTGGGCAACACACAGTAAGACCCTATCTCTACAAAAAACAAAAAATACAAAAATTACCCAGGCATGGTGGCACACGTCTGTAGTCCCAGCTGCTTAGGAGGCTGGGGCAGGAGGATGGCTTGAGCCCAGAAGGTGGAGGCTGAAGTGAGCCATGATCACACCAGCCTGGGTGACAGAGTGAGACACTGTCTCAAAAAAAAAAAAAAGGCTATTACTTTTTTTTTAAGAGGGAATTTCAGGACACAAGGGCACCTGACTCTGCCATTTAGCCGTGATCATGGAGTCCAGTTGGACTGCAGCTGTGCTGACCTGCTGCCACCCAGAGAAGCGGAGTCAGGCCGGAGACAGAGGCCTGGAGACAGAGGGCCAGAGATAGAGACCAGGAGACAGAGGGCCGGAGACAGAGGGCCAGAGACAGAGATTGGGAGACAGAGGCCGGGAGACGGAGGCCCGGAGACAGAGGGCCAGAGACAGGGCCAGAGACAGAGGGCCGGAGACAGAGGCCGGGAGACAGAGGCCCGGAGACAGAGGGCCGGAGACAGAGGGCCGGGGACAGAGGCCCGGAGACAGAGGCCGGGAGATAGAGGCCCGGAGACAGAGGCTGGGAGACACAGGCCGGGAGACGCAGAGACGGAGGCCGGGAGACAGAAGCCGGGTGACAGAAGCCGGGAGACAGAGGCCTGGAGACAGAGGGCTGGAGACAGAGGCCCAGAGACAGAGGCTCGGAGACAGAGGGCCAGAGACGGAGGCCAGGAGACAGAGAGCTGGAGACAGAGGCCCGGAGCCTGAGTCTGGGCCTCAGGTACCTGGATGGGTTATAGCCCACCCCAGGGCAGGCAGCTAGGTTCCCTGGCACAGTCCTCACCCCAGGACCAGAGTTCTAGGGCCTCCAATCGGTACTACCAACCTGTGAGAAGCCACCACCCTCACTCGGCACCGACTCACAGTTAATGAGAATGTCAATTCTGCCAAACTCCTTCAGAGCCTGGTCCACGGCAGCCATCACAGCTGGGGGTGCTCGGACGTCCATACAGAGGGGGAGGCAGCGCCGGCCGGTGGCCCCAGCCAGCTTCCTGGCGGCCTAGAAGCCCAGGTAAAGAGGCAGACAGCAGCCCTGCAGCCCTGGCCTGGAGAAAAGGCCTTTGGAGTCTGCAGAGGACAATGCATCCGGGTTCCACTGGAACCCTGGGTTTGCTGCTGGGCCCCACTCTGGGGAAGCATAGCCTGCAAGTACCCACGGCCCTGGTAGATGTTTGTGGGAACCTGCCACACTCTCCCCGCACCTGCCACCCGTCCTAGAATCCTCTCTCTGCATCGCCCTCCAGGCCACGGTCACCCATGTCCTGCCCCTGCCGCAGACCAGCGGCACAGGTGAGACTCTCCTCACAGGTTGAGGGCTCCGGTAGGTGGGACGCACAGACCACCTAAACAACCCAGGTGAGCCCAGAGATCTTTCTTGGGTCCATGTTACCCCCAGACAGGAAGGTCCCTCCCAGGACCCAATAACTAGATTTGTAAAAAGTCAAAGATGTCTCTGGCTGGCCATTTATTCTGAAGCTCCATATTTTATACTGAAGCTCCATATTTTATACTGAAGCTCCCTATTTTATACGGAAGCTCCATATTTTATACGGAAGCTCCATATTTTATACGGAAGCTCCATATTTTATACTGAAGCTCCATATTTTATACTGAAGCTCCATATTGAGGAGAGGTGCAAGTTTTGGTGCCGGCTGGGCACGGTGGCTCACGCCTGTGATCCCAGCACTTTGGGGGGCTGAGGTGGGCGGATCACCTGAGGTCAGGAGTTCGAGACCATGGTGGTCAACATGGTGAAACCCTATCTCTACCAAAAAAATACAACATTTAGCCAGGTGTGGTGGCGGGTGCCTGTAGTCCCAGCTACTCCAGAGGCTGAGGCAGGAGAATGGCGTGAACCTGGGAGGCAGAGGCTGCAGTGAGCCGAGATCGCACCACCACCCTCCAGCCTGGGCAACAGAGCGAGACTCCCGTCTCCAAAACAAAAAAAATGTTGGTGTCAACATCCCCTTAGCCTCTGGACCCTCCTGGCCCAGGCCCAGCACCCCCACAGCCACCCGCACAGGGGACCACGGGAGAGGTCCTCTCTCACCATCAACACTCGTGGCAGGCTCCTGCTGGCGATCACCGTGTGGCAGCCGTGCCTACAAAACCAGAAGCAGGTGTGAGGACAGTGCAGGCGGGGAGCACTCCCAGGGGGCGTCTGCCCAGCTCCTGGGCAGGAGTCTCTCGGGTGGAAGTACCAGTCCAGGGCTGAAGGCCCGGCTGGCAGAGGGCACAGGGGCGTGAACAGGACTGAGCAACTCTGGAGGGACCTCAGGTGGTGCCCACCCTGGGGTTTCTGGCATGGGACATCCCACCACACAGGCCTGCCAGCCCTGCCCCAAACACCAGGTACAGAGACTGCTGTGAGCCACAGAGGCCCAGCCCACACATCTGCCTGGGGCCTGCTGGGCCCACATCCTCCAACCCCTTCTCCCTGTGGGGCTGGCGTGGAAGACCGTTCTGAAGCGGGGTACTCCCTGCTCCCCTTCCTGACCACATGGATGCAAATCCACCACGTTGGCCTCTAGGGACCCCGGTTCCAGGAAGGCCGCTATGATTTCCAATTTCCAGCTTATCTACTGTTCTTGCAAAAGAGCACAAAGATAAGTCCTGCCTTTAGGTCAAAATAATCTTGATGTTATCCTCAACAAATTCCTACACACTCCCTCTGAAGCAAGACCCTTTCCCTGTGGTACAGAAGCCCTGCGCCTGGGGGTAACAGCTTGGAGACACCCGCCTGTCTCACAGCCACCCCACTATGCTTCTGCCCATAAATTCCCCAATAAAATCACCTCGCAGGGACAAATGGGATCTGTCTGCTTTGTTCTTTCATTTCTCCGCTCTTCTGGTTTGGGAGTTGCTTCCCCACAATAGCCACAAAGGCAGCTACCCCTGCTAGGCAGGTCCCACTGGAGCCGCAATGTCCCGTTCGGTCCTCAGCCACAAAGGCAGCTACCCTCCTGCTAGGCAGGTCCCACTGGAGCCGCAATGTCCCGTTCGGTCCTCAGACACCCCGAGCACAGAGCCACCAGTGGAAAGGCCAAATCTCTTCCTGTGCGACTCACCTTTCTGGTCTGAAAAGCAGGAGCCTCAGGGGAACCGAAGAGGAGTCCCTCTCTCCCACCTCAGCCTAACTCTAGCCGCTGTCAGGTGGGATACGTTGCTGACGCCGGCCTAAAGCCACAGAATTGCGTCCCAAGAAAAAATGTGCTCTGCAAGGCGCCAGCACTGGGGCCTGACACAGCCCTGACTCTCGAGGTCCCAGCAGGCCCCAGACCACAGCCACACAATCTCCATTGACCTGTAGGAGCCCCGAAGTCCTGATTCCCCCCAGGGCAATCCTCGACCCCTCCCCAGTCCCTCTGGCAAGCACCTGGATCCTGTCAGGTGGATGAGCAGTGGACTTCTACCTCCCACCAGCATCTTTCCAGGGGTCCAGCATCCAGCAGGGCCCAGGCAGGGAGAAGCGGGGAGCAGGGAGGGGACACAAAGCAGTCTCACCGCATGAAAATCTCAGCAATCCGGAACCCAATCCCAGAGCCGCCGCCTGTGATGAAGGCCACTTTGTCCCTGAGAGTAAAAAAGGAGGCTCCGTTAGAAGAGCCCTATTGGGCCAGGCCGGTGGCTCCCAGCACTTTGGAAGGCCAAGGTGGGCAGGCCACAAGGTCAGGAGTTCGAGACCAGCTTGGCCAATATGGTGAAACCCTGTCTCTACTCAAAATAGAAAACTTAGCTGGGCGTGGTAGTGGGTGCCTGTAGTCCCAGCTACTTGGGAGACTGAGGCAGGAAAATCGTTTGAACCCGGGAGGCAGAGGGTTGCAGTGAGCGGAGATCATGCCACTGCACTCCAGCCTGGGCAAAAGAGCGAGACTCCGTCTCAAAAAATATATATAAATAAAATTAAATTAAAATAAGTAAAAAATTAAAGAGCCCTGTTAAAATACACCCCCCATATTGCTATATGGCAATGATTTAAAATGAAAATTCAGCCGGGCGCCATGGCTAACGCCTATAATCACAGAACTTTAGGAGGCCAAGGCGGGAGGATCACCTGAGGTCGGGAGTTTGAGACCAGCCTGACCAATATGGAGAAACCCTGTCTCTACTAAAAATACAAAAAATTAGCCAGGCATGCTGGCGCATGCCTGTAATCCCAGCTACTCGGGAGGCTGAGGCAGGAGAATCGCTTGAACCCGGGAGGCAGAGGTTGTAGTGAGCCGAAATCGCGCCATTGTACTCCAGCCTGGGCAACAAGAACGAAACACAGTCTCAAAATAAATAAATAAGATGAAAATTCATAACATTATAGTATTTTATATATTTATTTTGAGACAAATTCTTGCTACGTCATCCAGGCTGGAGTGCAGTGGCACCACCACGGCTCACTGCTGCCTTGACCTCCCAGGCTAGAAGGATCCTCCTGCTTTAGGGACTACAGGTGCATGCCATCACGCCCAGCTGATTTTTCTTCTACTTTTTCTAGAGTGGGGTATTGTTTTGTTGCCCAGGCTGGTCTTGAACTTGTGCTGACACAAACTTGCAAAGTGCAGTGGGGGAAAGAGTATTTTGGTGCACAGGCTCATGCCTGTAAATCCTAGCACTTTGGGAAGCCGAGGTGGGTGGATCACCTGAGGTCAGGAGTTCAAGACAAGCCTGACCAACATGGTGAGATCCCATCTCTACTAAAAATACAAAAAATTAGCTGGGCCGAGGCAGCAGAATCGCTTGAACCCGGGAGGTGGAGGTTGCAGTGAGTATTTCGACAGAAATTGACAGAAGTAGATACAAGACAGAAAAAATAACCCTGGTTTAAACAAGATAGAGGTTATAGTTTCCTCTCTCCTAAGCCCTGCATGGCATAAATGTCAAAGATGATTCCTGAGATTCAGCGAGCTAGGTCAGGATAATATGGCTTTTTTATTTATTAGAGATTTTCTTGTACATATTAAATGTGTACTAATCGGTATGACTGGCACAAATTGTACCAGATGGATGGGCAGAGCTCTGAGTTGCCTTTCCTATTCTTTAATGATTAAAGATTAATTTTGGGCCAGGCGCAGTGTCTCACTCCTGTAATCCCAGCACTTTGGGAGGCTGAGGCAGGTGGATCATCTGAAGGCAGGAGTTCCAGACCAGCCTGATCAACATGGTGAAACCTCATCTCTACTAGAAATACAATTAGCCCAGCGTGGTGGCGTGTGCCTATAGTCCCACTTGGGCGCACTGAGACTGAAGCAGAATTGGGAGGCTGAGGCAGGAGAATTGCTTGAACCCAGAGTGAGACTCTGTTTCAAAAAAATTTTTTTTTTTTTTTTTACTTTGCAGAACACTCAAAAAGAATTGTCAATACCTTTCCTTGGAGAACACAACTTAAAACTTTTTTTCTTTTTTTTTTTTTTTTGAGATAGAGTTTCACTCTTGTTGTCCAGGCTGGAGTGCAATGGCGCGATCTCCGCTCACTGCAACCTCCACCTCCCGGGTTCAAGCGATTCTCCTGCCTCAGCCTCCCAAGTAGCTGGGATTACAGGTGTGCGCCACCACATCCAGCTAATTTTTTGTATTTTTAGCAGAGGCTGGGTTTCACCATGTTGGCCAGGCTGTTCTCGAACTCCTGACCTCAGGTGATCGGCCTCCCAAAGTGCTGGGATTACAGGCATGAGCCACTGCTCCTGGCAAAAGATCAAATTTGTAATAAAAACTTGAACATGTTGCAAATTTGAAAAAAAGAAAAGGAAAGAAAAAAAAAGGATCCGCCCATTGGCCGAGTGAGGGAGGACTTCGACCTTTACCCGGGCTGCCTTCCCATGTGAACACTAAGGCGTTTGCAAGAAAATGAAGAGCTGCTGGGCAAAACCCGGCATTCCTGGGCCTTCTGGGTCTTCGGAAAAATGATTTCAACCCAAAACGTTATGTTAAGAAAGAAGAAGCCAGGTTGGGCCGGGCACGGTGGCTCACGCCTGTAAATCCCAGCACTTTGGGAAGCCGAGGCGGGTGGATCACCTGAGGTCAGGAGTTCAAGAGAAGCCTGACCAACATAGTGAGACCTCCCCCTACTAAAAATACAAAAAATTAGCCGGGTTGAGGCAGGAGAATCGCTTGAACCCGGGAGGCGGAGGTTGCAGTGAGCCAAGATCGCGCCGCTGCACTCCAGCCTGGGCGACAGAGCGAGACTCTGTCTCAAGAAAAAAGAAAAAAAAAAGAAAGGAGCCAGGCGAGACCGGTTTCCTAACACACGAGCCCTCGGTGGGGACCCCGCCAGCCCTCTCGGGGCTACGGGGACCACGTGGGGGCGCCCGCGCCCGCGGACCGGACGCCGCACCGAGGCTGTGCCCGCTTCCCGGGCCCCGCTCACCGCAGCAGGTCCGGGCAGAAGAGGTGACGGTATGCAGGGAGACAGTCGTCCCCCTCCACGTCGGGCGGCGGCTGGGCCATGACGCTCGCGGCGAGGACTGCGGGGAGAGCGGGCGGGAGCCGCCTCGGCCTCCGGGACCCAGCGCTCAGGGACGAACGCTCCTGGAACCGGGAGCCCCGCCCCACTCCCCGGACGCCCCGCCCCTCCTCTGATTTCTCCCCGGAGGCCCCGCCCCTCCCCCATTATCCCCGGAGGCCCCGCCCCCGCGCGCGGGCTGCTGGGACTGGAAGTCGGCGCGAGAGGGGCAGGCGCAGTGTGGGGCTGGGGGGGCGGTTCCCGCGGCGGAAGTCCGGCGTTCTGCGTGTCCCCTCCCCGAGACTTTTTGACAGGTATTCGGCGTCAGCGCCGCGTTCGGAGCCTGCGGAACTTGTGGGATACCCCTGGCTCCTGGGTCCAGGCCGGGCTCGCAGCCTCTGGGCGCCCGTTCGCATCCCCGTAAACACCATGGGGAGCGCGGCCTGCCCTGCGCCGCTTCCCAAAATGACCCGTTTTGAGGCCAATAAAGAATGGTCCGGGGCCGGGCGCGGTGGCTCATGCCTGTAATCCCAGCACATTGGGAGGCCGAGGCGGGCGGATCACGAGGTCGGGAGTTCGAGACCATCCTGGACAACATGGTGAAACCCCGTCTCTACTATCAAAATACAAAAATTAGCCGGGCGTTGTGGCAGGTGCCTGTAATCCGGGCTACTCGGAAGGCTCAGGCAGGAGAATCCCTTGAACCCGGGAGGCGGCCCGGGCGGGGCTATGCCGCGAACCCAGGACGGGGCGCCCCGTCTGTACCACTGTTGGAAGAGGGGAGTCCGCCACGGTCACAGGGGAAAACACGCAGGGCCGCTCCAGGACTGGACATACCCGCGGGCCAGCGGCTTCAGGGGCGCGATGGAGCCGCCACCGCCACAGTAAAGGCTGCCAGGCCCTTTTTGCGCTGGATGGTGTCAGCCTGCCGGCCCCTTTCTGCCCCTTCCCAGGGAAGGCAGCTCCTCCTTTGGCGGGATCAGACGGCACCGGCTCGCGCCCAGCTTGGGTTCCCCGGGATTGCAGGCTGGTGGTCTCTGGACCCCCGCCTGGCTCATACATCCAACAACGTTATAGAACTAGGTGTGCAAAACTTCATCTTTACTCTTCAACTCTTTACAACTTGCATAAAAGCGTCATTTCTACCTCAGTTGGCAGAAGTCATAATTAATGTACCACCCATGTGCTGGGCACGGTGAATTTTAATGCCTCCCCTTTGGAGGAAAGGTTAGGATAACTTGCGAAGACCCCCCCACCACAAAGGCTGTCCGGCACTTTGGTGCAAAACGGATTGGTCCAATCTTGTGCTAGCTTGGGGTACAGAAAGGCACTGAAGTTGGTGGCTGAAACTCCTCTGGCCTGGGCTGGGGCAGAGGTGAACAGGGAAGTAAGTGGTTTGGGATAGGCAGGGATGGATGTGGGCTTGGGTTCTTGCTGACAGAGGTAGTTGGTCCTGCGTGGAGGCTGGGGTGGTAAGGGCAGCTTGAGCCTCAGGCTGAGTGGATGCTGCTGTGCTGGCCCCCGTCTGCCCAGCTCACCAGCTCACTGCTCTGGAACCACAGCTGGATCTCCCGCTGGACCCCCTCCACGGAGTCGCTGGCGTGGATGACATTCCTGTGCCGGTGACAGGAACAAGGTGAGGCTCAGGCTTCATGTGCACCCTGAGGAGTCCCAGGGACCATCTGTTGCTCCCCTGTTGCCCTCTGTCTAGGGGAGCAAGCCTGTGACTGCATACAGGGAAGGAGTAACCGTGGAGCTGGGAAACTGGGTTCCAGCCTGGCCTCAGCCTCTTACAGCCTCGTGGACCCGCCCAGACCCCAGCTTTTGAGAGCCTCATTTCCCCCCAAGTTGCCCCGTGCCAACCCCTTGGGGTGTCAGGCAACGATGGCACGGTACATACAACATGAAGGGAATGCCTCATTGCCCTGTGTGCAGGAGGGTCTGGGAGAACACCGCTCACCAACGTGAGCTGTCATGTTCCACCTGGCTTCAACCCAGCACAGCAAGACACCCAGGTCTCATGGATCTGCCACCACCCCAAGTGCTGGCCCTCCTCGTGCCCAGCAGCAGCCCGGTGTGTCAGGACCCCGTACCTGCTGATGTGCACGCTGAAGTCACCCCTTATGGTTCCTGGGGCAGCCTCAGCCGAATCAGTGTGTCCAGTCACGGCCCTGGAGGTGTGGACGACATTGTGCCCTTCCCAGACCTGCAGCGCGAGGTAATGGTTGGGAAGAAGTGGGGAACACCAAGGCCCCTGCGCTCAATCCAGGGCCCCTCCCTTTGCTGGGCGGAAGACACACCCCCGGGCCCTTCCACCACCCCTGCCCTGCCGTACCATGGCCACCATGGGCCCAGAGCTCATGTAGCGGATGAGGGCAGGGTAGAAGGGCTTCCTCCGCAGGTCCTGGTAGTGCTCGGCAAGGACGCTCTCTGGTGCCTGGGTGACATTGAGGGAAGGAGGAGGAGCCGCAGAGAGTAAACCTGGGCACTAGCGCAGCAGCTGTGATGCCCTGACCTCAGGCACCTTGCAGATAACACCAGCATGGGCAGCACCCGCACTGCAGAACAGATCCCTTCTGCCCCTTCAACTGCCAAAGCCGGGCCCTACCCCGGCACTGGCTGGGATGTGAAAAGGCTGAGAAGGATCCCCCAACCCTGTCCCCACGGGGACACCCACAAGCCCAGAGCCCCACCACCTGCAGCATCTTCATCCCGACCAGCGTGAAGCCCCGCCTCTCAAAGCGCTGGATCACGTCCCCAACGAGCCGCCGTTGCACCCCATCTGGCTTCACCGCCACCAGGGTCCGTTCCCGGGTCCAGGAGGGCCCTCCTTTAAAAGGCAAGGGGTCGGGGCACTGACACCTCACCCTTTCACATCCCCACGACCCGGGTTTCCCTGCCAGAGCCCAGGGGTCACCAGGCTTCAGGGTGTCTGCCTCTATGCAGAGCACTCTGGAATGGACAAGGATGGTGCCCATAGCCAGAAATGCTCCCATGATAGTCCCTGTCAGGGACACCCAAGACAATGTGTCCCTAGGGCTTCTAACCTCTCCCAGGGGCCATGGCTTCTCCCAGCAGAGGCAGAGGCTGCCTGAGATGGCGCGATCGCCCGAAGGTTCAGGGAGACACCGTCCAGCTCAGGGATCACCACCCAAGGTCCATAGAGGCACAGCCCAGCTCAGGGACCACCCCGAGGTCCAGGGAGGCACAAAGCCTGGCCCAGCTCAGGGACCACCGAGGTCAGGAGGCTGGCCAGCTCAGGGACCACCGAGGTCGGGGAGGCACAGCCCAGCTCAGGACCACCTGAGGTCAGGAGGCACAGCCCGGCTCAAGGAACCCCAGGAGTCAGGAGGCACCGCCAGCTCGAGGGGACACGAGGTCAGGAAGCGTAGCTCAGGACCACCCGGGGTCACGGAGGCACAGCCCAGCTCAGGACCACCGAGGTCCCGCACGGAGGCTGGCCAGCTCAGGGACCACCCTGAGACCACCCCGAGGTCCACGGAGGCACAGCCCAGCTCAGGGACCACCCTGAGGTCCAGGGAGGCACAGCCCAGCTCAGGGACCACCCCGAGGTCCCCGGAGGCACAGCCCAGCTCAGTGGCCGCAGGGAAGTCTGGAGAGCTTGCAAAGCTCCAGCCTCACTTTTGACTCCAGCCCTTCTGGATGACGACAGACATGGTCTGAAGCCCAGACTTTCCACGTGAAGAGGAACCCAGAGCCCACCCTGTGTTTGAGGTGAAGAAGTGGCAGGAAACCAGGGAGAAACACACTTTCCCCACTGGTGAGCCCTGAAAACACGGACAAAAGGGGCCTGAAGATTGAAGAGGGAAGGTAGCAGGGTTCCTGCCCGAGCCAGGAGACAGGGTCTGTGCTGCTGTGGAGTTTCAAGGCCTGTCGCTTCCAGACCCAGGGTCAGCACTGAGCTCCGCCCCACCCGTCCTCCACTGGAGGGGACGCTGCCAGGGAGACAGAAGACGTCCTCACCCTCCCACAGTCCCAGGCTGCTCCAGAGCCAAGCTACCCTCTGCATCGGGTCCCTGGTTTCCAGACGAGCCCAGACCCTGTATGTCCCACAAAGAGGCTGGACAGAGGCAAAGGGGCCCCGCCAGGCCAAGAGGAAAAGTTAACCCCAGCAGGAGGCTGAGGCCCATGGGAGGAAGGCCCCCTGGTTGGTTTGTTCCCCCAAAACCCAGTTCACAGGGCGCCCTGTGTAGCCTGGGGCTCTGCTGCGGCTGGTGCGGGCATTGGAGGCGGCGGCTCACTTTTCAGAGCCGATGGAGGGAGCCCTGGGACATGGATCGTCCTGTGAGGTGGCAACTGGGGGGGCCGGGTGGCGGTGGGGCCGGGGACTTAGCGCCTGGCGTCCCAGTCAGATTCTGGCCTAACTTAGCCTTCAGGGAACGCCCCAGCGGAGCGGCTCCCCACCCCCACCCCGGCCGGGAGCCGCCTCACCGCCCAGTGCTGCCGCCGGCCTCTGCCTGCCTTGGGCTCCCGGGCCCTCGGTCGCCCCGGATCCGCCCAGGCTGCCAACTCGCCGGGCGCCTGCAGCCTGGGGCCTGGGGAGGCGAGAAGGAGCCGCAGAGCCGGGCGGGCCCTGGAGGGGTGCGCGGGTGCAAGCCGGCGCCTTCCTCAACTCGGGCGGACCCCGCAGCCCGCGCCCCGAGGCCTCTGGGGGAGTCGGACCCCGATCCGCACGTGCGCGGACAAAGGCCGAGCGGCGTGCGCCCCCTCCGTACCCCGCGTACCCGCCGGGGCGCGCGGCTCCACTCACCCGAGCTGGGGCGCACGAGCAGGCTCGGGTCCGGGGCCCGCAGGCCGCAGCGCAGCCCCCGCAGCGCGGAGCGCCAGAAGAGGCCGCCCATGACGCCCGGCCCGCGGGCCGCTGTGAGCGCGAGGAGCGGGCGCGGAGGGCGGTGCCAGCCCCAGACCCGCCCCCGCCCGTCCCGGAGCCCCCGCGCCGATGCTATCCGCAGCCCCCCGCCGCCCCGGACCCCCGTGGCCCGGCGCTCACGGGGCGCGTGGAAATGTTCAACGCCAATTTCTGTTAAAATCAGAAGAAAAAACAGAAAATAATGATGAATCCCTCTCGAATTGCATTCGTCTTTATACCGACGCAACTGTTAACTATCATTTTAACGCTTTCCCGCGGAGGAAGGCCCACTTGGGAGGCTGAGGCGGGAGGATCGCTTGAGCCCAGGAGGTTGAGGCTGCAGTGATCTGTGACTGCACCGCTGCACTCCAGCCTGGGCAGTAGAGCAAGACTCTGTCTCAAAAATAAATAAATTCACGGACCAAAAGGAGGTCTAGAAGCCCTGGTCTGAGCTGCCTCCAATGGAGGGTGAAATTCCCACGGGAGCCCCAGGGCGGGAGGAGGCGCTCCGGAGACGCTGGCCCTGCGGCCAGGACGAGTAGGCGGGACTACAGACCCGCGCCACCACAACCAGCTAATATTTTAATTTTTTGTAGAGATGGGGCCTCCCTGTTCCCCATGCTGGTCTCAAACTCCTGGGATCAAGAAATCCTCCTGTCTTGGCTTCCCAAGGTGCAGGGATTACAGATGTGAGCCTGGTCTGTGAATTTGAATGGGGAAAAATCCGACCTTTATTCTCAAATGGCCTCTGATGTGGCTGCATTCCTCTAATTCATTCAGTTATGGATATGAGGAACAAGGCACAGTCATAGTTGCAGGGCCTGTGACTTTGTCACCAACAGAATTCACAGGTATGGTAATACTGGGTAGATACCACAGTGTGCTACTGTTTGAAATGGTTAGGTCTCCCACTCCTAGAACTTAATGAATCTTGAAAAAGTTTGCATTCTTTTTGCTGCTATGGGAATGGAATTGTTTGCTTTCTTTTTTTTTGAGACGGAGTCTCTATCTGTCGCCCAGGCTGGAGTGCAGTGGCCGGATCTCAGCTCACTGCAAGCTCCGCCTCCCGGGTTCACGCCATTCTCCTGCCTCAGCCTCCCGAGTAGCTGGGACTACAGGCGCCCACCGCCTCGCCAAGCTAGTTTTTTTGTATTTTTTTAGTAGAGATGGGATTTCACCGTGTTAGCCAGGATGGTCTCGATCTCCTGACCTCGTGATCCGCCCGTCTTGGCCTCCCAAAGTGCTGGGATTACAGGCTTGAGCCACCGCGCCCAGCCTGTTTGCTTATTAAAATAGTCCGTTGCAAGTGTATAATGTACAATTGAGATTTGTTTGTTTTTAGACGCAGCGTCCCTCTTGCTGCCCAGGCTGGAGTGCAATAATGGCATGATCTCTGCTCACTGCAGCCTCTGCCTCCCAGGTTCAAGCAATTCTCCTGCCTCAGGCTCCTACAGGTGTTTGCCACCACACATGGCTGGTGTTTTTTTGTATTTTTAGTAGAGACGTGTTTTTGCCATGTTGGCCAGGCTGGTCTCAAACTCGTGGCCTCAGGTGAGCCACCCGCCTTAGCCTCCCAAAGTTCTGGAATTACAGGCGTGAGCCACTGCGCCTGGCCAACAATTGAGCCTTGTGCATTGGTCTTGTATCCTGCAAGCCTGCCGAATGCATTTATTAGTTCTACTAGTTTTTTTTAATGAATTCCTTGGGAATTTCTTTGTATAAGATTGTGTCATATGGAGCGGGGCACGGTGGCTCGTGTCTGTAATCCCAGTACTTTGAGAAGCCAAGGCGATCAGATCAAAAGGTCAAGAGTTCAAGACCAGCCTGGCCAATGTGGTGAAACCCCGTCTGTACTAAAAATACAAAAATTAGCTGGGCATGGTCGTGCATGCCTATAATCCCAGCTACTGGGGATGCTGAGGCAGGAGAATGGCTTGAACCCAGGAGGTAGAGGTTGCAGTGAGCCGAGATCGTGCCGTTGTATTCCAGCCTGGGTGACAGAGCAAGACTCTGCCTCAAAAAAAATCATGTCATATGGGAATAGAGATGGTTTCAGTTCTTTCTTTCCAATCTGAATGCTTTTATTTTCTTTTTTTTTTTTTTTTTTTTGAGACGGAGTCTCGCTCTGTCGCCCAGGCTGGAGTGCAGTGGCCGGATCTCAGCTCACTGCAAGCTCCGCCTCCCGGGTTTACACCATTCTTCTGCCTCGGCCTCCCGAGTAGCTGGGACTACAGGCGCCCACCACCTCGCTCGGCTAGTTTTTTGTGTTTTTTTGGTAGAGACGGGGTTTCACCACGTTAGTCAGGATGGTCTCGATCTCCTGACCTCGTGATCCGCCCGTCTCGGCCTCCCAAAGTGCTGGGATTACAGGCTTGAGCCACTGCGCCCGGCCAATGCTTTTATTTTCTTGTCTAGTTGCTCTGGCTAAAATTTGCTGTACTATGGTATAAAGAAGTGGCGTTTTTTTCCTTTTTATTTCCGTGTATTTTATTTTGCACATTAAAAACATGCTGGCCGGGCTCAGTGGCTCACGCCTGTAATCCCAGCACTTTGGGAGGCCGAGGTGGGCAGATCATGAGGTCAGGAGATCGAGACCATCCTGGTTAACACGGTGAAACCCCATCTCTACTAAAAATACAAAAAATTAGCCGGTCATGGTGGCGAGCACCTGTAATCCGAGCTACTCGGGAGGCTGAGGCAGAAGAATGGCGTGAACCCAGGAGGCGGAGCTTGCAGTGAGCGAGATTGCGCCACTGCACTCCAGCCTGGGCGACAGAGCGAGACTCCGTCTCAAAACAAACAAACAAACAAACAAAAAGACATGCTGAGGCCGGGCGCAGTGACTCACGCCTGTAATCCCAACACTTTGGGAGGCCAAGGTGGGTGGATCACAGGGTCAGGAGTTCGAGACCAGCCTAACCAACATAGTGAAACCCCATCTCTACTAAAAATTAGCTGGGCGTGGTAGCATGCACCTGTAATCCCAGCTACTTGGGAGGGTGAGGCAGGAGAATCCCTTGAACCTGGGAGGCAGAGGTTGCAGTGAGCTGAGATCGTGCCATTGCACTCCAGCCTGGGTGACAGAACAAGACTCCATCTCAAAAAAAAAAGAAAAAGAAAAAAATTATGCTGGGCTGGACGAGATGGCTCATGCCTGTCATCCCAGAACTTCGGGAGGCTGAGGCGGGTGGATCACCTGAGGTTGGGAGTTTGAGACCAGCCTGACCAACATGGAGAAACCCCATCCGTACTAAAAATACAAAATTAGCCAGGTATGGTGGCAGGTGCCTGTAATCCCAGCTACTTAGGAGGCTTAGGCAGAAGAATTGCTTGACCCCAGGAGGCAGAGGTTGCTGTGAGCTGAGATTGTGCTATGGCACTCCAGGCTAGGAGACAGAGCAAGACTCTGTCTCGATAAATAAATAAATAACTCTCTTGGCCGGGCGCAATGGGATGGCTCACACCCGTACTCTTAGCACTGTGGGAGGCAGAGGTGGGAGAATCACTTGAGTCCAGGAGTTTGAGCCCAGCCTGGGCAACATAGTGAAACCCGTCTCTACAGAAAATAAAAAATTAGCAGAGCGTGTTGGTGTGCGCCTGTATTTCCAGCTACCCGGGAGGCTGAGGTGGGAAGATTGCTTGAGCCCAGGAGGTCCACGCTGGATTGAGCTGTGATCGCACCACTGCACTCAGCCTCGGCAACAGAATGAGACGGTGTCTCAAAACAAAACAAAAAAGAACTCTCATAACTCAACAAGAAAAGCACAACCCAGGCCGGGCGCGGTGGCTCAAGCCTGTAATCCCAGCACTTTGGGAGGCCGAGACGGGCGGATCACGAGGTCAGGAGATCGAGACCATCCTGGCTAACACGGTGAAACCCCGTCTCTACTAAAAAATACAAAAAACTAGCTGGGTGAGGTGGCGGCGCCTGTAGTCCCAGCTACTCGGGAGGCTGAGGCAGGAGAATGGCGTAAACCCGGGAGGCGGAGCTTGCAGTGAGCTGAGATCCAGCCACTGCACTCCAGCCTGGGCGACAGAGCCAGACTCCGTCTCAAAAAAAAAAAAGCACAACCCAGTTCACTGCCTCGCGTAATGCCTACCCCTTAAGTGTGGGCCGCGCCTGGTGACTGACTTCTGACACGGCAGAAGAGACAGGTGTCACCTTCACGATCTGGTCACCAAAGACTGCAGCTGCTGCTGCTCCTCCGCCTCCCGGGAGAAGCCACTCCCCTGTTGTGAGCAGCCCTGTGGAGAGGCCCCCATGACAAGGAACTGATGTTTCTGGCCAAAAGTAACATAGGTGGGCTTAGAAGTGAACCCGCAGGAGGCTGAGGCAGGAGGATTGCTGGAGCCCAGGAGGTTGAGGCTGCAGTGAGTGGCGATTGTGCCACTGCGCTCCAGGCTGGGCAACAGAGCGAGACCCCATCTCAAAAAAACAACCAAAAAAGTGGGCCTGGCGCAGAGGCTCACACCTGTAATCCCAGGACCTAGGTTGGCCAAGGTGGGCAGATCGCTTGAGGTCAGGAGTTTGAGACCAGCCTAGCCAACATGGTGAAACCCCTTCTCTATCAAAAATACAAAAATTACCATGGTGGGGTGTGACACACCTGTAGTCCCAGCTACTCAGGAGGCTGAGGCACTAGAATTGCTTGAACCTGGGAGGCAGAGGGAGCAGTGAGCTGAGACTGCAACCGCACTCCAGGCTGGGCAACAGAGTGAGACCCTGTCTCTATCTGGAAAGAAAAACAAGTGCATCCTCCCCGAGTCAAGCCTTGGGATAACCTCAGCATGGCTGACACCTTGACCACAGCCTGTGAGAGCCTCGGAGTCAGAGGCACCCTGCTAAGCCCCACCCAGCCTCCTGTCCACGGAATCTGGAAGATAATGAACGTGTGCTGCTTATATCATAAAGTTGTTGGGTGTTTGTTATGCAGCAGAGATGACTAATACAAAGACCAGCCAGGGAGGTGCAGAGTGGCATCACCTCCAGTCACAGCTGGGCTCCGGGGGCTCCGGTGGTCCATGGGGCTATGCTGCACCCCCGAGGCCAGC